AGAAAACAAGGAAAGGGGCTCAACTGAGTGTCGTAAAACTAAAAAGTAGTGACCAAGGAGTACGTAAGGCAAATAATTCTGAAGCCAAGTCAAGAAGAATGGCCAAGCATAATGAGGTTGCTAACACTTCCTATATTCCTCAGGTATAGTACTGTCTAGTTTATTAAAAATACTGAGACTTATACTAATACCTTCATATATGGAAAGAAACAAACTGAGTAGATATTCATATCTGTTCCCTCCTTTAGTTGAAGAGTAGTGGAAATGGCTGTAGGGGGAAAATACATGTGACAGAAGCAAGCAGGGGGTCTTAGAATCAAAGAGAAGTCTCTGTGTATGAATGGATCAAACATTCTAACATATCCCCTCCATTGACTAGGGACACATTCTTTAACCAGGTGGGGTGCCTCATCAATGACTCATTAAATAGAGAATATTAATAAACAGAAATTATTTTTTAAAAAAAGAAAAACAGAATCAAATGGAAATTTGGAGTTGAAAAGTATGATAGCCAAAACGAAAAATTCACTAAAGGTACTCACTCAATAGTAGATTTGACTTGATGGAAGAACAAACTAGCAAACTTGAAGATAGATCAATAGAGATTATGTACTCTGAAGAAAAGAGAGAAAAATATAAACACAGCCTCAGAGAAAAGTGAAATACCATCGTGTACCAACATATGTATAATAGGAGTACCAGAAGAAGAGGTGAGAGAGAGACAGGGACAGAGAAAAATATTCAAAGAAATAATGGTTGAAGCTTCTCAAATGTTATGGTAAACATTAATCTACACATTCAAGAAACTCAATGAACTCTCAGTAGGATAAATGTAAAGAGATCCACACCCAGACATATGATAGTATGCTGAAGGTCAAAGGTAAAGAAAAAAATCTTGAAAGCAGTAAGAAAACACTCATCATATACAAGGGAACCACAGTAAGATTAACTGATGTCTTCTCTTCAGAAACAATGGAGGTCAAAGGCAGTGGACAACATGTTCAAAGCCCTGAAAGAAAAATAACTATTAACGAAGAATCCTATATCCAGGAAAGTTACCTTTCAAAAATAAATGTGAAATAAAGACAGTCACAGATAAACAAAAGCTGAGACAATTGCTGTTAGCAGATTTGCTTTATATGAAATATTAAAAGAAGTTCTTCAGGATGAAAGGAAATAACAGCAGACAGTAATTTGAATCCACATGAAAAAACAAAGAGCTATAGTAAAAAAAATTATGTAGGTAATGATGAATGACAGTATAATTATACATTTCTTTTTCTTCTCAACTGATTTTAAAAACATTTGCATAAAGCAATAGCTATAAAATTGCATTCTTGGGCATATAGAATATAGAAATGTAACATATTTGACAATAACAACAAAAATGAGTGAAGCTCTATTGGAGAAAGAAAATGACAGCAGAAGGTAACTCAATTCCATTAAAATAAAATAAAAATTATGAAGAGAGTCAGAGACGGTAAATAAAAAGGTAATAAAAAAAAACCTATAAATATGTTTGATTTTTCCTTTCTTCTCTTAGATTCTTTAAAAGACATAAGATTATAGAAAGAAATCATAATAGTGATGTGTTATTTGGTTAGTAACATATATAGACATAATATGAATAACAGTTATAGAACAGAAAATGAAGAAGGGAAGGAAGCTATATTTTACTGGAATTAAATTAGTATGAATCTGAAGTAGATTTAGATAAGCTAAGATGTATATTGTAAGCCCTAGAATAACCAATAAGAGAGTAACTAAAAATAATTTAGAAAATCATTTAAGGGATGAAATGGTATACTAGAAAACAAAGTCACTTAAGACAAAAGGAGGTAGCAAAGGAGGGAAAAAGGAACAACGCAGTCATGAGATATACAGAAAACAAAATAAGGGGACTACGTAAGTACCGTTATGTGGGCATCCTGTGATGCGGTGTCTAAATACTCAATCCAATATATTTTAGATTGAATAGCTTTCCTCGTTAGTCATGTTTCACCCCTCTTGAATTAGTGTTCTATTCATGGCATTGCTTGTCCTTGAAATCTTTAAGCAAATTAATATAAATCCATGAAGCAGATTTTGTTTCATCAGACTTCTGTATTAAATTTTCTGCTTTATCACACTCCCCTTAAAAAAGTATTAGGTTAATAACAGACAGAACTTATTCAGAGAAATGCACACGAAAAGGTACACACTGAGATACACACTTTATTTTGTTTAACTACATTCACACCTGATGTTTATTCTCTGATATTACTAATATTGACACAAAAATACATTCATTGGTACATATATTCTTGTACTACGTATATACAGAAAGAGAAAAACAGCCATTAATTTTGGAGGGCATTAAAGTTGAAGACATCAAAAGAACCATTTATTGGCTCACTGAATTCCCTAATATCTTCTAAAAAAAGGCATCTAAGTATGTATGTGCATATATAGTAGAAGGTACATAGTAGTGATTGATGGTGTTCATAATTACACGAACACATGCAGAGAGCATTATGCATGTTTACATATAACAAAATATGATATGTGTGTATTGACTATGTTTATGTTTTTATATATTAAAATAATCTACAACTTTAAGTAATGGTGTGTGTGTATATATGCCCATAAACACAAACACACAGAAGTATCACACTCCACCATGCAGTATTATGGATGTACTTTGGGTGTTTAGAAATGCGTGTATGCTCCTGGTAATAGCTGTCTGACAGACAGTTTGGCAGAATAATTAAGTATACAGGTTTGAGAATCAGACTGCCTGCATTCAAGTCCCAGCTCTGCCTTTTATTGTCTACATCATGGTATTCTTGTGAGGATTAAATGACAATGCATGTGAAGTCCTAGAAAGCACCAGGCAAATAGTAAGTGCTCAGTAAGTTTTACTTATCACTATTGATCTTCTTTTGATTTTGCTCCTCCAGGAGATAAAAGTGTTTCCTTCACATGTGGGGCATGTGTTAAATTTAGATTATGCTTCCCATCTAAGAATAGATCTTTTATTGAGATGATGTCTGCAACTGTTACACCTTTATCTGTGATCCTCTTAGGATTTGCAAATTGTAGTATACAACTGTTAGCATGTCATGGGTTTTTCCCAGGTGATGGTTGCTTTCCAGGAATATAATTAGGAGTATTAATATTGCTTTTCAAGGACTTTTATAAGTTGTATAAATAGAATGGGGAGGCAATGATGACACAGGTTATTTAGGGAAATTTCTAAGGGGTCTGCCTGCCTCTAGTCTCTTTCTGTTGTAATTCCTTCTATACATGAGGGCAGAGACGTTTATCTCTTTTGTTCACTGCAATGTCTTGAGCAGGTGCTTTGCACACAGTAAGCACAAGTAAATATATCATAGTACTTCTTAATCTAAACCCAATTACTTATCCCCAAGTATCCATCAAAGTCATTGATTTTCTTGTAATCATGAACTGTTGTTGTCATTAGGTGCCACCGAGTTGGTTCCGACTCGTAGTGACCCTACAGGACAGAGTAGAACTGCCCCATGGGGTTTCCAAGGAGCAGCTGGTGGATTTGAACTGCCGACCTTTTGGTTAGCAGCCGGGCTCTTAACAACTATGCCACCAGAGCTCCGGTCTTAAACTACGTTTGTGTAACTACTTCCCAAAATATAACTGATGCTTCAGGTAAATTGAATAGTTGATTATTATGTCAGCATTGCCCTTCTTTCCTTCATTTAGGTCTATACAGATGTTGTTTTCTTTACCTGTCAAGTTCAGTACCCTCACTTCTTCCCTTAGAAACTCCACCCATCCATCAGGAGCACCTCAGACTCGACCCCATCCACTCTGCTTGCCTATACCCTGATAGCTCCTCCTCAGCATGTCACTGGCGTTATTTTTTGTCTTTCTTGTGTCAATCACTTTTTATATTCTGTTACAGTTATTTGCATATCGTATCTCCCTTCAAATAGGGACCTCATCTTTTGCCTTTTTGCCCTCTCCGGCACATGTAGGTAGTAACTATTTGACACCAGTAAATATTTAACAAGGACTTAGTGCCACGTACTTAGCCAAGTGACATGCTGGCTTCATAGGAATGTGAGTGATATCCTCTCCCTGGGCTCAGTACACATACTTGCCAAATGAATAATTAAATGAGTTCCTATTTTTAGCAGCATGCTGTTGCAGAACAGGCAATGGACTTAGTATTGGATATACTAGGTTAAAATCCAGTCCATGTGACTCTAGGGCAATACTTTCCCTTCTGAGAGCCTCATTTTCATTGTTTGAAAGTAGAAATAATAGACCCACATCTTAGCATTATGTAAGAAAACATATGGGGAAGCCCCTAACCAAAGTTCTTGGCTTGGAGAAAGTATCAAATAAAAGTGAGTTTCCTTCCTTCCTTATCGAGGAGCTACATAAATGCATAGAAGACTTCTCCTCAAGGATGTTATTATTATTATTATTTTGGTTTCAGTTCTGGCTCTATCAGTCTTCTTTGAATAGGCCCATCAAATTCTCACAGTCGTTGGCTATAGCAGGCTGTGTTTCTACTCTCCTCCTCCTTCTGGAAGTTTATACACTTTGGCAAATACTCATTTGTTTGCTGTGGTGAATATAAGCTGCTGCTCTCCTCCTATTCTTCATGAAGTACTCATGGGAATTCCAAGTTTTGTTTTTGAACTTTTGTTATACCCACAACATACAGAAGTACAATTACAGATGCTTTCACATTCGTTATTTCATTTGACATCCTTGAGAAGTCTGTGAGGGTGTTAGGGTGGATACTGGTCGTCACCCCGCTTAAGCAGATGAGGAAAGAGAGCCTGAGAGTTTAAGTGGTCTGCCCAAGATCACATAGTTAGAAAGTGGCAACAACAGGGGTTGATCAAACACAAGTCACCTGGCTACAAATTTGTTGCTGTCTCCATGCTAGTGTATTTGCCCCAAAAGCAAGGGGGCATTTGGAAACTCTAATATCCTTGATCCTAACAATCTCCTCTATTCTTTTTTGGCAGAGGCATCCATCTTGAGCTATGATGGCAGCATGTACATGAAGATCATCATGCCCATGGTCATGCACACCGAGGCAGAGGATGTGTCTTTCCGCTTTATGTCCCAGCGGGCTTATGGGCTGCTGGTGGCTACAACCTCCAGGGACTCGGCTGACACCCTGCGTCTGGAGCTGGATGGGGGGCGCGTCAAGCTCATGGTTAACTTAGGTATCGTATGAAGTACCCTCTGCCACTATGTTTGGGCTTGTCTTCCTTTTCTTTTCTGATTTTCATTGGTTTGATTGTTTGACTGAATTCATTTGTTTCTTAAAAGTTAGCTGCTCACTTCTTGTTTAATAGACCAAGGATAAAACCCAACAGCAACAAACACCTCTTTCTCCTTGTTTCTGCATGAGGTTTTGATGTCAGTTTCTGGTTTCTGACAGTGGTGGTTTCTTTACTAGATTATTTGTTTTCTAAGTTTCCTTTCTTGGTTTTTTGGAACCGTTTAGCTTTGTGTAAGACACGCTACTTTGGTCCATCTTTTGATCAGATACATTCCCATTAAGTTCAGCTCCTTGGTCACCACTCAAAACAGTCAAAGCTGAGGATGGAAACAGAGCAGGAAAGGAGGGCAAAATGGGAGGGTGTGATTGGAGAGAATTAAGCACCTACGTAGGTAGTGAGAAATGTATTATTTCTAGTTCCACAGTGACTATTCACATGGGGAGTTCTGGTGACCCTGATGACACTGTATCTCTTTATACTTTCTCCTAATGGAGAAGATTAAGTCAGATTATTTCTGATGTCCCATGGAGAAATAATTTCATAAGTTTAGAATCTCTGACCTGTGGAAGGAAAATATTACTTCTGATATGCAACCACATCTTCCTTCCTGATACTCTTACCCATCTTCCAGGAACCTTTTGTATAAAGATTTTTAATTCACACTGTTATTCAACAGTTAGTCTGTCCTGCTCCTATAATACGTGTCCATTTTCCTTGGTATTAAAATATAATGACAACTTCTAATTTGTAGCTTTATTGGGAATGGGTCTGTTCTTGTACTGTAATTACCTATAACAGATACTTTGGAAATTCTCCTCCTTATGGCCTCATATTATCTTTTGCTACCCACCCTCTTTACTGAATTCTAATTAACCATCTATGGAGAATGGGGGCATCTTGGTGTTTGGAAGAGGCAAAAAAACAAACAAACAAACAAAAACTTTAATTCTGCTATTCTACTTACCAGAAAGTCTTTTTGGAAATCTTTGGGCATCATGAGGTCAAAGGCCAGTGTTGGCAGGTTAGTGATATAGCTGAGCTCAAATATCCTGAACCTTTGGGTTTGTTTGGATATGTTGAATACTTTTGGACCCAGAGCTCCTCTGCAAATATGTCAGTAGAATAGTTTGTCAGAGGCATGGAGAAGACATGAAGGACAAATGAACCAGATGGAAGAACATACAAAATCCTAGATGGCCTGTCAGGAAGGCAGGGTTTGTGAATCCATACCAGTCTTATCTGCTCTCAGGTTCAACTGGTCGTGCTTGGAAAATGCCTACACTACAATCCTAAAATCTCTAGGACGCAGACTGTTTTGAGCAGTGGCTTGGTTAGTTTGTTTTTTTTTTTTTCGTCCAGTTTGCCGCTTTTATAACACTGTGCCCTTTTTCTTGTCCAACCTCATTTGATTTCTGTTGTCAGTGTGTCTCTTGGTTTTTCTTTTGTTCGTGCGTGTGTGTTTGGTTATTTTGGATTTTGTTTTTTCTCTTTTGCTGGATCTTCTTCTGTGTTCTTGAGTTTCCAAGTCCTCCCCACCATCAACCATGGTAAATCAAAAGATGGTATTCAACCCTTCAAAGGCCCAAAGCCTGCGGCCCGCATAGCAAACAGCCTTGAGAACAGAGTGTACTGAGCAGCCTGCAGGGGCTGGCATACCCCTGCCCCTCCCACCCTCCCCTCCCGGTACCAGCCTCCCCCTCAAACAAACCAACAAAAGAGTATATTACCTCAAACCTGCAACCAGTAGCTAGTTGTCTACTTTTCTATAAAACAGTAGTAATAACAAAAACAGTAAAAAATCAGCATAACCCTCTAACTAACTAGCTCACAAAAAGATGAAGATGGTTTTTAACTCTGTCTCTATTTCAAAGTAAAAGAGAAACATAGATAAAAGGATGATTCAGCTCCAAGTGGTTCTGGGAAAGTGCACATTGTGTCTTTAAACAGACTTTTTTTTTTCTTTATTAGATATTATTTTGTCAAGGTTAGAAAGCCAACTGTGACAGGTCTCACATCTGAGGAAGAAAATTGGGAGGAGGTAGAAGGGATCAAGAAAGAAATGGGCAAATTCTTTCTGTCTCTCTTCTACACACACACTCACACACGGTGGCTCACAGATCCCATGTGTATTCTTGGAAGCATTCTTTTTTTTATTTTTAACCCTGGCCAAAATTGAGGAGATGTGCTTTTCCAAAAGGCTTTGCTTTTGCTTTTTGGCTCCTTTTGGCACACCATCAATCTAGCTCCTCCTACATTGAAATATTCTAGGCAAAATGGAGCCCCTCCGTAGAGACCATGATGCTCCTTCAGAAGCCATAATGATTTATTTTTTCCCTAAAGGGTATGGTTTTCCACAAATACGTGTTTGAATGTATTGATTTTTCCTTCAGACCTAACCTGGAAAATCTAAATTCATTGTGTGGTGTATATACAACCTCTCAGATTCATGCTTTGTTCAAAGATTCTCTTTCCAAACCCTTCAGATATACCCCTCCATTCATGTTTTCTTTGTCCTTGTTATGAGCTCACATCTCCTTTCTCTTGGGTGTAGAAGAGGACATTTCCAAGCAGAGTTTGCCTTCTCATGCATTGCCCAAGGACTAATGTGAAACTATCACTTGGTTTGCTCACCCCTCAAGTTGTGTCTTTTCTCTAGCACACAACACAAATTACATTCCAATTTATTTCAAATTGGCCACACATATAAGCTCATGACATAACAACCTAGTTTATATTTCTCTAACGTAACATGTTTTCTAAGTGTCAAAGAGACTAGGCTTTTCCAAGAACCTTACTTTCTGAAAATAGCCATATGTGGTAGCAGGAGGCGTGAGAAATGTCTTTGACAGTATAACACACACCAGGTTTTTAAAAAGTTGTGAGGTTGGCTATTGATCAACCATATTTTGATCTTATGGAATTAAAAAAATAATAGTAGCATTTTAATTATTACATTATACTTAAAGATTTAAAACACCTTATCTCATTTCAATCTCAATTATTTTTGTGAGATAAGGCAAGGAAGTACTTTTATGCTTACCTTTACAGATTTGGAAACAATGAAATGTATGACTTTTCAAAGCTCACACAGAAAGTTGGTAGCAGAGCTGGAACTAGAACCCATGTCTCTAAACTGCTGGTTTAGCATGGGTTATCTGTTACCGCCACAGATCAGCACTGTGGATCAATGATGTAACAGTCTTAATGACCTTGAACTGCTTTTATGATGGTCACCTTTAAAACGTGCACAGAGGGAATCTCCTCTTTCCTTTTTCATTAGTGTCCAATTTGAATTGAACCACCTGAAGGGAGGTCAGTTAATACTGGTACTGCTTCAACTGTGGCCCTTTAGAATCCTCAGCAGAATGCTGGGAGCCCTTCTTCAACGGCAGGAGGCTCTGAAGGAGTGTCTTGCAGTTTGGGTGATTGCATTTGGATTCTCCAGATGTTCTCCCTCCGGAAACATGGACTTGCTGACTACCATTTACTATACACATCATTGAAGACACTCAACTCCTACAATCATTTACGTCTTCCATGCTCAACCCAAAGCCCATCAATATGGAAAATAATCATCTCTCCTGACTTACTAAAATAAAACAAAGCTAAATAAAACCAAGCAAACAATACACACACTTCAAATACCATATCGAGACTCAGACAGGTTTCTTTCAGGCAAAGTGAGAACTTTGGCAGCTACCACAGTTAGATCTAAATGAAATTGCCTTTCCAAGCCAATTGCCCTGACTCGCATTTCTTTAAAAAAAAAAAAAATTCTCACTATCAAGACCACCTTTTATGAACAAGGGACTGGCATAGATTTTCACCTCAAACCACTTATTCATCAGGTAAAGTAACAAAATAATTATCCACTTGTCGACTTAAAATGACCAAACTGTCTGGCCATCTTGAAGGCTCCAACTCTTCACATTGGTTTAAAGACAACATTCACTTCACATGAAGCCATTTGGGTGAACTGAGAAGGACGAGTAAAGCCAACACCTGTCCCTAGACCAGGTCCCTGTCTAATGATAAAATCCTCAGCTGCATAGAGACCAAAGAAAATCACTCCTTGTTTATAGTTGTTGGGATTGTTGCTTTAAGCTCACTCTTTCTCTTTCCCTCCCTTTTAAGCATGCCCACACACCTGTTTCCTCTCTCTCTTTAGTGAGTCAGGAAAGGGCATTTCACCAACTTTGGACAATGGTAGGTGTAACCAAGAGCTGAAGCTCACACCTCTTCTTCCCTACCCACCCTCCCTCTTCCCAGTCCTCACCAGGGGCATGGCCTCCTCTGTCTGGTGATCGTACCAGTTGCTCCAGGGCTGTTTGCTCCCACTTTTCTGTTGCGGTTGACGACACATGACAAACCTAACCGCACGAAATCAAACCCAGATTTTTCTCAAGAGATGTTCTTCCGGGGAACAAGTAAGCTTCCTCCTTCCATCCTCAGAATGACTGGGTGTGTAAATTGCTTTTATCTGGATTCTCATAGTTTCATTCTGCCCTGTCATTTGCCACTAGTTCCTTTTTCATTTGCTAGCTTGAAGTGGTTTACATGGGAAAATTCAAACGGTGGTGTTGTGGCCCTGATAAGTCCTCCAAAAACTATTGGGTCAACCTTAGGCAGAAGAAGAACATAGTTTGTTACTGTATTTTTTCCCCTGTTTAACTTTCTTCCTTTTCTTTATAATTTTGCTTCTACTTTTTTAATGTCCAACCAAAGAAAAATTCTTATTGGAATTCCTTCTATCATAATCCAGCCATAAGTTCAACAGGGCAGCTTGGTTTAACCATTAATTTGAGACATTTCTAACCATTTCTGCCCATTTCCCCTATTAATACCCATTGACTGTAGTCAAGAACTTTTAGGGGTATGTGTCCATGACTCTCAAACAGATTGCAGTAAAATTACAGATACTCTGATCTCTGGCATAACAGAGTTGTCTGCCTCTCAGCATTGCAAAATTAGCTACACTTTTCTCCCCTCTCTTACCCATTAAAAATATTAAAAAAAATTTTTTTCTCTCTCTCTTCAAGATGCAGAATCACAGAGTGAAATAGGGTTGTCAAAGGTGCCTGAGGCCGCATCCACATGTGCCTGTCCCACCTTCTCCCGGAATGCTGTAGGCACTCCACTCAGTCTGAGCATTCAGGCAGGAAGGTGAAGACAGGTTTCATGAGTGGGTTGGTCTGGGAGCCTTTGAAACAATAGCAATCAGAGAACCCAATCAATTGTGATAGCGTCATCAAACTCCTTTTACTCTACACTCGACCCCACCTCTCTAAAATCTGGGATGGGTGTTTGTGCGGTTAGCTGTTTGCAAGTGGCCATTTTATGACAGGAAATGATCAGGTGGTGTTAACCCTTTCCTTGCCTGTAAGGATGATGGCAAGTCTGCCTTTGTAAATTTTTATAGCATATGGGGTCTGACCTAAGGAGAGGGTGGAGGGAGTTTGTTTTTAGGAAAAGAGAAAGGGTTAAATACTGCACTGAGAAACTTCATGGACAGATTTTTTTTTAATGATACAATGAGTCAGACTGGTGGTGTATCTTTGGAATGCTAATACAAAAATTGTGTTAATGCTCTTTTAGAAATAAATTTTAAGAAAATCAAATGTAGGAAGAAATAGAATATAACTTACATTTGGTGGGAAAATTTTTGCTTTATTTGCCAAGTTTAACAAAATTAATATTTCAAAGTTCAGGTACGAAATAATTAATATAAATGAATAGTTCTTTTTGGAAAAAAAAAAAAGAAGCCTACTCAGTGTCTACTGTGGATATATATGTATACCAGTATATATCTCTATACATATGTGTATATATGTGTGTGTATATATATATGTATCCAACTTTACTAAATAATATACTGTACATATACACCCACCTTTTAACTTGTGCATACTACATATATATAAAATGGCCACATTTCTTGCGTGTGTCTGTCCCCGGAAGGGTGGACTGATTGTTTTTGGATGTCTGCAGCTGTTACCTTGAAGGATGCAATTTCATCTTTCATTTATTTTTCCCCATCTAGACTGTATCAGGATAAACTGTAACTCCAGTAAGTTTTCCCTCAAGTTTCATTTTGTTCTTTAAAAAAACAAAAAAACAAAACTGACTTTATTTTGTTTACTGTTTTATGAGCTGTTTTTTATTTGAATTATTTTATTTTTTTGATTGCAGAGTTGCGGGTAGCTGGGGTTGACAAGAAGAAGGGTGGGGTGATGGTAGTGGGCTGGGCTGAGTATGGCTTGGGGTGTTGTTTCTGAAATGGGGCAGGTCCTCTCTTCTTTCCTTGCATTTGCTCTTTATGCAGAAAAGGAGGAAAAGGTACCTGGATAATTAAATAACTTGAAAATGAATTGAAATGGTAATTTGTTGTCTTCGGGAAATAACCCTCAGGGGTGGACAAAAAGCTGTAGAGCAACCAGCATGCACTTCTCCACTACCAAAAGCTTCAGATAATAAATGCAAAGTTGATGATCCAAATGGGGCTGCCAACTCAGATATTTCTTCACTGGCATTTATCTCTTCAGGAGAATTTTAGGAGGTAGGCAAAACATTGCTCTTGTTAATAATGCAACATTTCAACCAAAGATATGAGAGACACTCTAGCTCTACAGAATGAAGAATTCCAACTTATTATTTTCATCTTATTCCATTCAAATATCCCAGTTCTTGAAGAAGGGTCTTACTGATCTGCAGCCTAAATACTATTCACACATTTCATCCTCAGACACAAACATTAACTGGAGCCATCAAGGAAGGAAAATGGGAAGAGATAGAGGAAGGATAAGCATAAGGAAAGAACAGGCCTAGGAGAAGAAAGGAAGAAAGGAAGGAGTATGCTTTGAGTCCTGTGATGTATCAGTTAGTGTAATAAATGCTAATTGCTATAACAAACAGTCCCAAAATTTCAGTGATTTGATATAAAAAAAGGTTTATATCTTGCTCAGGCAAAGCTCAGTGCCAGTTGTGCAGCTCTCTTGGTCAGCGCTCTTCAAAGAAGTAATTCAGGGATCTAGGCTCCTTCCATCAGTTGGCTCTGCCACTTTGAGGTTCTTCACTCCAGCTGTATCCATAGGGAAAATGGTGTTGAAGACTGGAGGAGCTTGGAAGATTGTGCAGTAGGTTTCATTGCCTTGTCTGGAAGTGACATACATCTCTTCTGACCACATTCTATTTGCCAGACATTAGCTCATCCTAACTGCAAGGGGTGCTGGGAAATGTAGTCTTCCTGTATACCTAGGAAGAGAAAATGGGATTGGTTGAACATCAGACACGCAGAATTCTCAGTATGATCTCATCATTTGGGTTCTTTCTTTGCTAGAGTCTTTCTGTAGGAACAATCTTAGAGAAAGAAAAGGAAATAATCAAATTTTATCCTTTCATTTACTTGTTCATTCTGTCATACTAAATCTTTTAACTTTCTTTCTTAATGGGAGATGTATTATTGGATATATATTGGAATAAAGTCCAAATCTACTTAAAAATATATTTATATTTATCTATATATGTACCATATAAATTAACAGAAAGAGAAGAAGAGGAAATTGGAAAAAAACCTATATAAACAACCACTTCCTAAAGTGATGTGCTTTATACTTGTGTTGGCATCACTTTCAGTTATTTTAACCAATCCTATTTTGCTGTGTTTACATGTTTCCAACTAACCAAAAATTTATCATGATATTTAGGTCATTAAAGCTTAATTGAAATATCTTTTTTTTCTTTAAAGCCTGGAGGTTTCTCTTTTTATAAGCAACTTTGTTGAAGTGTAATTTACATACCATAGTATTTGCCCATTGTAAGTGTACAATTAAATGATTTTTAGTAAACGTATAGAGTTGCCCAAACATCAACACAATGCTGTTTTAGAACATTTTCATCGCCCGCAAATTTCCCTTATATCCTTTCACAGTTAATCCTTGCTCCCACGTTCAGCCCTAGGCAACCACCAATCTATTTTTGTCTCTATAAATTTGCCTTTTCTGAATATGTCATGTAAATGGAATCATGTAATATGTAGTCATTTGCATCTGGCTGCGGCTGTTGACTGCTGCTACTTCTCCTGCTCCTTCTTTGTCTTCTCTTAAATCGCGTATCTTTGGAAAGATTTCTCCCTTCCTTTTGCACTGGTTTCCAGAAGGAAATAAGATAGAAATAGAGAATGAAGATAGAAAGCCTCATCCAAGGTTGAATCTAGCATCTTCGGGCTTCAAAGACTTATCTGAAGAACAGAGAAGTGAGAGGGTAATTTGATCAGGATGTCAGGACTTGCATTTGCTCCTCTATCTACACCTGTTCTGGAGTTAATGACATCTGATCAGCCGCGGAACTTCATCATAAGGCAAGTTGCAGGGTTCTTGCCCTGGGAAGACAGCAACTCTCTCTCATCAGCACATAAATATCAGTAGGTTTCCTAAACCCGATACAAGATCTATTTAGAACCAAAAAGCAATTTGGGGAACATGTGAACAAAGTTGTGTTCTCAGTTTTGATCATAGTACAGAAAGAGTGCCACTGGTTTTAATTCAATATTTAGGTAAATAGGCAAGATTAGATTTTGAAAGACATTTTTGAATTCTCATGATAAAGTTAATTTTCGCAAGACTATCAGAGAAATGATATATTAATATAAATAAATTAATGTAATATAAATTGTATTATAAAAGAATATATTAGTAATATAATATAAATTA